TAGGATAACATACATTATTTAATAAAAAGCAGGAAAATTGACATCCGATTGCCTCAAATAAGGATACACTTTGCAGATCGGTGTAGGCAAAGTAGTTGACAAGAGCGGGGGGACGATGTCGAACCTCTTAGTATGTGGACGTCGAAGGTAGGAGGATGACGTCGTCACGCCGAGGCAGCACTGCGTCGGAAAAAAATAAAATCGCTTTAGATAAGCGAATACTACAAAAACCGAAAAAGCAGTCAATAGATATGATACAAGCAATTGAGCAGGACATATCTACACAGATCCGCCTCCGACACTCCGGATGGTGTAAAAGGACGGCCAACGCTACTGATCTGTTACGGCGTCGGTGTAGATGTAGGATGGGAGAAGGAGAACTTTAGGAACAGAGAAGATATATTGAGGTTGGGAGGCTTTTGTGGTCTGGCATAAAGAGGCAGAGGTCTGAGGTGAATGAAGAGCGAAGGAGGTGAATACAAATCGAGAACGGCGTGGATGTTTCTATCGCTTGATTGAGGAGTGTGGCTATTCTCCATTGTACTGTATAATTAAAATTTGGCTTCTCAGAATAAAAATTGAGGGTTTGTATCTTTGCGCTGAATTTAGAAAACATAAAAACAAGAGGTGTAGTGTAGTGTTTGCAACAGCTTATGCTTTAAAAAAAGCACTTTTGGAGTGATTTGGAAAAAGTGATTATTTGTAAAAGTTGATAGTGTTTGAGAAAAAAGTGATTTTGAAAAGTAAAAGTTGGTAGTGTTTGGTAAAATAAGTGCTTTTGGTGTATAAAAAGTGGAAAAGCACTTTTGACACGTAAGTCGAGAAAAATAAAAAATTGGTAGTGTTTGGTAAATAAGTGCTTTTTTAAACCAAAAGCTGAGGAGTGCTTCGTATTGTATGTTGTACTAAAAAAATTTGAAAAAGCTTATGACTAAATACTAACTATTACGTATTATATTAAAATTAAAAAAAACAAGTGTTATTTAATTTTAATTTAGAGTTGAATTAGTAAAATTTATGGCCAAGTCAAACTTTCTTAATTCATTTAGTCTAAATTAAAGAGTTTAACTCAAATGTTGTCTTTTAAAAAAATACTCAGGTGTTGTGGTTTATATTTTTTGTTAGGTAATATATTTCTAATTTTTACTAACAACATTTAGAAATAAAAATATACTTTTTTAAGGATTTCATGTTTTCATAGATCAAGCATTAATCTATTAATGATGTTTAAGGCTATGTTGTAAAAACCGGACCGGTGAGTGACCTGGTCATGTGACTGGGTCACGGGTCAACCCGGACCCGGAGGGTCAATCCGGTCAAAGCCGAAAAACCGGTCAACGATTATACGTCTATATAATAATAATAAACATATAATTACATACACTCTCATTATATATTTTTATTTGTATTGTACATTTATATTGTAATTTGGCATGATTTTCATTCTTAAATAAATATATAAATATATTACATAGTTTTTCTTTTTAGGGAATTGATATTTCAATTTTATAGGTTTAAAAAATGCATAAAAATTAAAAAAGAATTTTTTTTTTTTGGAAAAGACCGAAAACCGGGTTTTTCGGGGTTTCTTGGGTCGGGTCCAGATCGGTTTTTTTCGGGCCAGCTGGGTTTTTCCGGTTTTTGACCATTTTCGGGTTTTGAAGAAACCGAACCGGATTTGTGTCCGGGTCACCGGATTCCGGGTCAACCCGGTTGGGTCGGGTCGGTTTTTTAAAACATAGGTTTAAGGATGTTTTTACTTGGAGGGTAATTTGTCCCAGACCAGACTATATCATACCAGTGCAGACCAGATCAGACCAGGCCAGACCAGTTCAGAACAGACCAGACCAGCAAATTACAGTCCAAGTAAAAACATCCTAAATGCAGTATGCAGTTTAATTTATACGTGTGATTGCATTCAAAATTACATTTTTTGGAAGATATTTATATTCCTATTATTTACAAGGTGTTGATCAAGTAAAAAAAAAGCGTGGAAGGTATTCACCAACAGATGAGGTTATAACACCGACGATAAATCCCTTATTAACAAAGGACGGTGTGGACGCTACTACTTCAGACCTACTTGAACTCTCTAGATATCATTGTTCTGCTTCTTCTATTGAACCAGGTTCAAGTTCTTAAGTATATTACATGTCAAGTTCTACGTGTAATCTATGATTTAACCTGTATTAGTCATTAATTTTACAACTGTCTTATTAATACAATATTCATACTTACTCCTACTTATACAGATATTCAATATTGGGATATAGAAGATCCCAAATACAAGTGTCATTTTTGTGGGGCGGCGTTTTGGTATGATGAGCGGTTGAGGGCAGACTACAAATCTAAAAAACCCAAATACTCTGGATGTTGCATACAAGGTAAAATAAAATTGCCACCAATGAAAAGTCCTCCTCAGGTTCTCCTTGATTTGTTATACAGTGATACTCAAAAGAGCAGGCACTTTTTACAAAACATACGATCGTATAATAGTATGTTTTCTTTCACCTCAATGGGAGGGAAAATTGATGTTAGTCACAACATCGGAACCTCTCCTTCGGTTTTCAAACTGCATGGCCAAAACTACCACTTGATCGGTAGTCTATTGCCCGAGGAGAATCAAGTGCCAAAATTTGCACAACTATATATTTACGACACAACAAATGAGGTGGTGAATCGTATAAAGTCAGTGAGGTAAGCACACATAAATGCAAAAAAAATTAAAAAGTTTGTGAAATTAATATTGCATTGAAATTCTTAATTATGATTTGTTATGTATCAATAACATTTTCCTTTTTGAATAGGAATGAAGCTAATCTTGACACATTACATGAAGGCATTGTTTTAGAGTTAAAAACTATGTTGGACAAAAATAATGTTTTCGTCAAAAGTTTTAGGATGGTAGGTGAGAAAGTAGCTGAAGGCAATTTGAATGTTGGTCTAAAACTCATTGGTAGAAGGGGATCTGATGCTAGGACTTATAATCTTCCTTCAACATCTGAAGTAGCTGCATTGGTTGTCGGTGATTTCGATGAAACGTTAGGGAATAGGGATATAGTACTTCAATCGCATTCTGGAACCTTGCAACGTATTAACGAACTTCATCCAGCATACCTCCCTTTACAATATCCCCTCCTTTTCCCTTACGGTGAAGATGGTTATAGAGATGACATTCAATTTTGTACATCATATGAATCAACGTCAAATGGAAGAAATTGTGTAAGTCTTAGAGAATATTTCGCATTTCGTTTGCACGAAAGAGACCAGGAGTCTCCGAGTATTCTATTCTCAAAAAAACTATTTCAACAATTCGTCGTTGATGCATACACAATGGTTGAATCTGGTAGACTGAGGTTTATAAGAACTCATCAGACACAGTTACGATGTGAAATGTACAAAGGTCTGTCAGATGCTCTTTTACGAGGTGAAACCGATTCCCGCGCTCAAGGTAAACGTATTATATTACCTTCTACGTTCACTGGAGGAGCACGGTACATGATTCAAAATTATCAAGACGCCATGGCTATATGTCGGTGGGCTGGGTATCCTGATTTGTTTATAACATTCACATGCAACCCAAAATGGCCAGAGGTTGTCCGTTTTCTAGAGGCAAGGAAGTTGAAGGCAGAAGACCGATGCGACATTATTTGTCGAATTTTTAAAATCAAACTAGACGGACTAATCAAAGATATTCGCCAAAATAAAATATTTGGCAGTACTAAAGCAGGTAAAGCAAATCATTACTTCTTATCATTTTCGTTTTTATTAGTATACTAACACACAAGTATTTACATGCTAACATATCTTTAGTGTCGGTCCATGGGTTTCTTATGAATATTGGATAATTTTTTTTGTAGTCATATATACCATCGAGTTTCAAAAGAGAGGGTTACCCCATGCTCATATATTGATATTTTTATCAAAACAAGACCGTATTTCAGTTCCAGAAGATATAGATCGTATCATTTCCGCTGAAATTCCAGACAAGGATATAGACCCAACTTATCACAATGCAGTTGCAGACTTGATGATGCACGGTCCATGTGGTCATGCAAGGCCTAAGTCACCTTGCATGTCCAATGGTCGTTGCATGAAACATTTCCCAAAAAAGTTTAATGAACAAACTACTGTTGACGATGAAGGGTACCCAATTTACAGAAGGAGAGACAATGGCAAGACAGTTACAAAGGGAGAGATTGAATTAACTAACCAGTTTGTAGTACCTCATAATCGTTATCTTCTGCTAAAATTTGGCGCTCACATCAATGTTGAATGGTGTAATCAATCCCGCTCGATCAAATATCTTTTCAAATATGTCAACAAAGGGCATGATCGTGTAACAGCAGCTTTTTATCAAAATGAAAGTGCTGAAAATTCAACTCAAAGTGTTGATGAAATCAAGATGTACTACGACTGCAGATATTTATCTCCTTGTGAGGCATCATGGCGAATTCTTGGGTTTGAGATTCAGTATAAAAATCCTCCAGTAGAACGATTGAGTTTGCATTTACCAGATGAGCAAAATGTATATTTCACTGATTTGTCTTCACTTCCAAGAGTTGTAGATGACCAAACCATGAAACACAGTATGTTCCTAGCTTGGTTTAGAGCTAATCAAATGTATTCTCATGCGCGAGATCTCACCTACGCTGAGTTCCCTCAAAAATTCGTTTGGGACTCAAAAAAGAGAGAATGGAAAGAAAGGCAAAGACGGTTTTCCATTGGACGAATAAATTATGTCCCACCTGGCAGTGGAGAAATCTACTACATGCGTTGTCTTGTGAATGTTGTGCGTGGAGCAACATGTTTCCAAGATCTTAGAGTTTTTGAAGGACATGAATACTTAACGTATCGTGACGCATGTTATGCCCGAGGATTACTCTATGATGACAAAGAATACATAGACGCAATAGATGAATCAAGTTTCTCTGTTTCTGCCCACACACTCAGGTATTTTTTTGTGACCATTTTAACATCAAATTGTGTCTCCCGTCCTGAGCACATCTGGGAACAATGCTGGAAATTCTTTTCGGATGACATACTATATAGGCAACGTCGTTTGATGCAATATCAAGGTATCTCATTTCTCAACAATTGCTTTGAATACTATTGATATAATTTTAATAATAACACTTACACAAAAGAAATATATCATATTCATCAACATAAAACAATTCGTTTTTTTTTGTAGATTTAACTCTAACGGACGATGAGATTAAAAATTACACATTGATTGAGATTGAAAAGCTATTGCAAAGCTATGGTAGAAGTTTGAGAGACTATCATCCCATGCCATTTCCATCAAATAATGTCACATCAAATGGAGTAAATAGGTTAATTTTTGAAGAAATGCAATATGACAAAAATGAAATGAAGACCCTACATGAAAGCCTCATTTCAAAGTTGACATTGGAACAGCGTAATGTATATGATAAAGTCTTCAACACTGTTCAAACTAACAAAGGAGGGGTTTTCTTTGTTTACGGTTATGGGGGGACAGGAAAAACTTTTATTTGGAAGACATTATCAGCTGCATTGCGTAGCAAAGGTGAGATTGTTCTTAATGTCGCATCCAGTGGAATAGCCTCTCTTCTTTTGCCAGGAGGGAGAACAGCTCATTCCAGATTTGCAATACCTATAAACATCAACGAGGATTCAACTTGCAATATAAAACAAGGAAGTCAATTGGCAGGGCTCATCCGAGCTTGCAAACTTATTATCTGGGATGAGGCTCCAATGGTTCATAAGCATTGTTTTGAAGCGCTTGATAAAAGCATGCGGGATATATTGCATTTAACCAACCCAGTGAGTTATACAAAGCCATTTGGGGGGAAAACAGTTGTTCTTGGAGGTGATTTCCGTCAAATACTGCCAGTCATTCCAAAAGGATCTCGACATGACATTGTACGTGCCACCATTAATTCTTCTTATCTATGGAAGCAGTGTGCAGTTTTGAGGTTAACTAAAAACATGAGGTTAGAGAGCACTAAGGATCCAAATGAATATGAAGAAATCAGGAAATTCGCTACATGGATTGCAAGCATCGGTGATGGTATGATTGGAGAACAAGTTCACGGATGTGCAACAATTGAAATTCCAAATGATATCTTGCTCAAATATGACGGGGATCCAATAGCTGCAATCGTAAACAGTACGTACCCTGATTTCTCTAAAATTGGTAATGACCCTACATATTTGGAGAATCGAGCAATATTAGCTCCCACCCTTGATGTTGTTGATTCTATCAATCAATACATGATGTCACTCAATGTACAAGAGTCAAAAACATATCTTAGTGCTGACACTGCTTGCCAATCTGACACCAATGCGGATGTCTTAACTGATTTACACACTCCAGAATTCTTAAATACCCTTAAATGTTCTGGAGTACCAAATCATGAATTGACATTAAAGGTGGGAACTCCAGTTATGTTGCTGCGAAATATGGATCACTCAATGGGTCTGTGTAATGGAACGAGGTTGGTCATTACAAGACTTGGATCTCATGTGTTAGAAGCGAGGATACTTACCGGACGAACAGCAGGGCAGAAAGTGCTCATTCCAAGATTAAATTTGACCCCTTCTGATGTAAGAATGCCATTCAAATTTCAGAGAAGGCAGTTCCCTTTAGTTGTCTCCTATGCAATGACTATCAATAAGAGTCAAGGACAATCCTTATCACATGTCGGTTTATTCTTAAAAAACCCGGTTTTCTGTCATGGTCAACTCTACGTCGCAGTGTCCCGAGTTACTAAACGTGAAGGCCTCAAGATTTTGATAACCAACAATGATGGGACGCCCAGCAATTCAACCATCAATGTAGTGTATCCAGAGGTTTTCCAAAATGTGTAATTCGATTTTCAAATGGGCTTTGTTTACTTAGATAAAGTTTGTATTTTCCAGACATTGAAATAGCAAAACCTTAGTGAATATGTATCATTATTGTACCGTGCATCGCACGGGTACAATACTAGTCATAATTAGAATGTTAAAATCACCATATATGATAGTGAGGGTGGAGTTAAAAAAAAAGTGCTTCACCCCTTTGACTGGAGTTGGCCAAACTAATCAAGGTCAGCTCCTTGAACATTATACTTCAACTACTGGATGGAAAAAAGCCTTGATCTAACAAATCAAACAGCTCTCCTTCTGCTCTGTCTCTCCACCATTGATCATCCATGGATGTTCTGCATTAACCAAATTAATCAGACTTAAATTCATTTATTATCTACACAAATTCTATACTAATAATGTGTTACAAAGCCCAATTAAACCCCCTTATCATTTCGTTTTCTTTTGCAGCTATTTTTATTTGAACGTGTTTGTGTTTGAATACGTTTTTGTTTGAATGTGTTTGTGTCGCAAATAAAATCAAAACAATAAAAATTGATTAGATTTTAAAAGGCAGTACTAAATTAGACCAACTTAATAAAAATTTATTAGAATTTAAAGATAGTATAGTAAAATTGTAAAACACATAGAATAGAGTAAAAATATTTGTCCACATCTTTTTATACACACATGTTTTGTCCATGAATAGAATATTTATGACAGAAAAAATAGTTGGTTCACCTACATGTATATTGCTGTGTATAAAATAGTGTGCATAAAAATATGTATTGGTGTGTATAAAAATATGAATTGGGGTGTATTGTGTATAAAATAGCTTGTTTACATACATAGGTAGGTATGAGTGTGTATAAAAAACGTGTACAATAAACAAAGCTCAATTATTATAAGTGTCACACCTTCTTTTTTGTATAATGAGACAGATTTAAATTGAGATAATTAAAAGTTTAAGATTTGAAAAATTAGTTTAATAATGACTTTGACTTACTTAATACTTCGTCTGCAGATAAGCGCTTAGAAGGATATTTGCAGATCATCTTTCTCAGCAGATCTTTCGCGTCCGGAGAAATTGACCGGAATAACTTCGTGGGAAATACCAAATTTGCCCTCAAAACCGCCTTGAACGTCTCCGCCGTAGTCTCGCCCCAGAACGGCGGAACTCCGGCAAGCATCATGTACAGAATCACGCCGGCACTCCACACGTCAACTTTCTCGTCATACTCCCGGCGCATCAGAATCTCCGGCGCCACGTAGTACGGCGTCCCCACAAACTCCGACATCCGGCCGCCCCTGAAATCGGCGGCGTACCCGAAGTCGGCGAGCTTCAGATTCCCCGCCGAGTCGAAAAGCACATTGTCCAGCTTCACGTCTCGGTGGGAGATCCCGGCGCGGTGGCAGCAGCTGATCGCCGACATGAGCTGCCGGAAAATCTTGGCGGCAGAGGGCTCCGGCATTGGCCCCCGCGAGACGCGCTCGTAGAGGTCTTCGCCGTCGCAGAGCTCGGTGATGAGGTGGACGGAATCTTCATCCTCGTACACCTTGAAGAGGCGGAGGATGTTGGGGGCGCCGGCGAGCAGCATGAGAATCTTGGGCTCCTGCTCCAAGAAGCGGCGGTCGGCGACGAGGCTCTTCTTAATGGTTTTGCAGGCGAAGAAATCGCCGGTGGACGGCGAGAAGCAGCGGTAAACCTTCGCGAAATTTCCGCGGCCAATCTCTTCACGGAGCTGGTAATCGGCGGCGAGAGTCCCACACATTTTAGTACTCTGTTTCTTGCGCAGCCCACAGATCAGAATGAAGTCGGTGACGATGATTAGAGAAACAGTGGAATCTAAATACGGATTTAACGAAAACAAACGGCAGTACTAGATTAGTCGTGCCCGGATTAGGTATTGGTCTTAATATATACGGAAACTCGTATGTTGTTTTTTGGACCGGGCCGAATCAATGCCCCAAAAGCATTTATGGATTTCTTGAATAAAATGTCGGGATTTTATGCAAGTATTTTTTTTGGCTGGACTTTCTAGTAATTTTTTTGGATGTTAAATGTCAACATCCTTAAGTGGAATGAGTCTCGAATCTATGACCTCCTTCTTGAGAGTGTCACAGTGATGCTATCAAACTACAAGATACTTGATTTTTATCCAACTAATCTAAAACGTAAAAATAATGCTCCGTATTACTTTTTTCACTCTTGGATTTTTTTTCTCCCAAAAACAGACTCATCAAGTTCTCCTTTCACTAAGACTTTAATCCATACACCCTAACCGTAAACTTTAACATGATTGAAACTCTCAAGGAGGAGTTTTTTTAAAGTAATTATTACTAAGGTTTCACCATGAGATGTATAACACCTTACACCTGTCATCTCTGTATTTTTATTAGTTTTTTTTTTGTTTTTTTAATACTTTGTCATTGTTTTCTATACAAGACATGATGAATTAGAGGTTGCATATAGTTTAGAAGTATTATTTTCATTACGTCTACTATATATTTAGAAGTAGTACATATTTTATTAGAGGGTATATATGTTTGCTTAAAAACTTAAAACTATTGTTAGTAGTTATTGATCAGTAGAAAAACACATCATAGCCATGACTGAATCATAAATTGAATATGAGGTTAGAATTATAAAAGTGAGTAAAGGGAAACACTACAGATGTAAACAAGGTTAATTCCTGCCAAGAAAAATAGAATGACATGTGAACAATGTAAAGTAACCCTGGCCTCAATCAAGTTAACTCCTGTCAAGAAAAACATAATGGCAATTGAACAATGTAAATTATGATCCTCAGGTTTAATCCTACCAAGAAAAACAATAAAAAATGCAAAGTATGAATGCAGTAGCTATAAAACTTATAGCTGCTCATTCTCTTTACAAGACCTTTTATTATGACCAAGTTGTCTGCATTTATCACACTTAATCATTCCGTACTTTCTCTTAGCCCTGTGGGGATCCTGTCCTTCTAATGAGGATTTGAGTCTTTGCTTTTTTTAGATCCCTTGAAGGAGTTATTTAGACAGTCCGTATACCGTGGGAGCAGCCCAGCTTGAGCATCCTACACCCGCGACATAAACGACGTAGTATTACATTAAAATACATTTAATTAAAAAAATAAAGCGCACCCGCACGCGAACCAACGGATCGTTTCCCAATATTTCCCTCCAGCGGTTATGCTCTCCACTCCCGATGTCATAACATATACGCCTCTTCGAAATACAAAACTTTTCCAAAAGTTCACTTTCTGAAAAATCTCTCGCTCTGCATTTCTTCTGAAGCAAGTTCAACTATTCGACGAAGTTATTTTTGAAACAAATCTCTGCGAAGAACAAGAGGTTAAGCAAAGGATTACACAGAAACAACTTGCGCATCAAGTTTAGCAGCAAGTCAATCAAAATGGTTAGAGTTAAGGAAAAATCTGATGTCAGGTATAAACTATAACATCGACTCAAATATTAATTACTGCGATTAATTTTTTCTAATGAAAATATGTGTATTATAAACTGAAATGTGTTATTTACATGTAAATACAAGCAACGTAATTTTTGCTTAATAATGTGCATCTGACTATGTTTAAACTGTCAAAATACCTGATGTTTACTTAAATTATCAAGTATATAAACTCTATAAGGTATTACTTGAATGCAAATGTTGTCCAGAGAACATTTTTCAAAGTGCTTGTGCATGGTGTAACTTCATTGAGTACTTATGTAAGTTCTGTATGATAATATATAACATGCATGGAGTACAAAATACATATTCCACTTCGGTAAGCATTATGTATATTTATGTTTGAAGTATGCACACTCTGTGAGCTTGTGCATGGTGTAACTTCATTGAGTACTTATGTAAGTTCTGTATGATAATATATAGCATGGCTAGAGGACAAAATACATATTCCACTTCTGTAAGCATTATGTATATTTATGTTATGAAGTATGCACACCATATCCCTTACTATGTCCCTGCAAGTATTGGAGCCATACTTGATTATTGAACAAGATGTGTAAGTTGTAAATACAGATAGAATTTATGTAACATAAGTATATTAATATGTAACTTTTGTAATTGCTTAGTTACATGTAACTTTGGGATATAACTTATGAAATTAGTGTATAATATCATGTAACTTATCTAAATTGGTAATTATAAAATTGAATTTGTCATTGGTATATAACCAATGTAAATATTTTGTTATAAATTATGATAGGAAAATGCACTGGGCTAGATGGGCTAAACTGTGTTTCCCTACTGATGAAGGTGGATTGGGAGTTAGAGCACTTACAGAGGTGGAGAAAGCGTTTACACTTAAGCTATGGTGGAAGTGGAAATCCAATTCATCTTTTTGGTGTGAATTTATTAATGACAGATATCCTAGACAAGGTGATATGAGGCCAAAAATTACTGATTCAGTTGTATGGAAAAGGTTATGTGAGATAAATAGCTATGCCACTGACCATGTTTCTTACAATGATGCTGGAGGATTGATGTGGGATCCTGGTATCAATGGTTCTTTCTCACTGAAATCTGCATATAATGTAATCAGATTTAGTAGATCAACAACTTTTTCAGATAAGCATATGTGGAATAAATATCAGCAAATGAATGTGAAAATGTTCATGTGGAAACTTCTCAATGCTTATCTGCCTATCCCTGATAATCTACAAAGATTTCAGATCTGCCTGCAACCTTCCAGGTGCCCATTCTGTAATTCTCATGGGGAATCAACAGATCATTTGTTCTTTGGATGTCTTTACTCAAAGAAAATTTGGAATTACTACATAGATATTTTTAGTATACCTGGTGCCAGTGCTTCTACTTTAAAACAAGTAATAATCTTTTGGTGGATTGAGGCTGGTTCAAAGAATCTGTCTGACATATTCAAGCATAACATGCCGGGTATAATTTGTTGGCACTTGTGGAAGACCTACTCTTCTTATGTTTGGGGCTCGACACCTATTCCTTCTCCAGCTTATTTAACCACTCAAATCAAGTGCTACACTCAAAGTTGGGCTTGCAAATTATCTAAACTCAAACCTAGAAATGTGGAAAATTTTCTTAAACAAGAAGGTCTGATTTCGAATAATTTCAGGTTCCAATATTTAGGTTTACAGGTTATCAAGTGGATACGACCCAAAAAAAATTACAAAATGAATGTAGATGCTGCGTTCTCACCTGGTTCGGCTCAAGGAGGAGCTATTCTGCGAAATGGTTCTGGAGAATTGCTATGTGCTATGACGTTTCAAATCCAGGCAGAGAATAGTGAGGAGGCGGAATTCTTGGCGATGGTGTACGCTTCGGAGATGGCGATGGCGGCCGGTCTTGTTGACGTTCAGGTTGAAACGGACGCGGCTCGTTCGATTGCTAGATTGAATGATGAATCTGGAAACTCTGCTGGGTTTCACATTTTTAGAAGGAAAGCTTCGGACAAGGGGTTTAGTTTTGGGCATGTGTACAGGGAAGCTAACGGGCCGGCCCATTTCTTAGCTTCTCATCCCATAAATTCAGCCCAATGTGTTTATTTTGATCGGGTTATTCATTTACCGAGGTTGGTTAAAGCTAGTTATTATGCGGATTTATTTGGTATTCCTAGCATTCGTTTTTAAAATTTCTTGTAATTTTATTTTTTGGGTCAGGTCTAGCCCCCCCAAAAATGATTTTTTTCTGTCTCATTTTATCATGTATTTTTCGGAGGAATGCCTCCGAAGAGAGGTTTTGGTCCGGTCCCCCTCTCTTTTTGTATCTTTTGATTTTATTAATAAAATAATGGCAAATGTTCCCCGGCATTTGCCCCACTGATTTTGGTGGTTTGCCTTCCGGGTTAAAAAAAAAAATTATGATAGGAAATATGTAAACTTTATGATTTAGTATGTGACTTGGCATGTGCTCGCGTGTAAGATGTAACAACTCTTTTGAGGAGTTGGGTAATTAAGTTTTAAAATATAGAATTGAATCACATCCAAGGGCATAACATGTAACTTTGAGCTATAAATTATGTAACTACTGTATAATATTATGTAAATCGTGCTATGTGTTATATAAATTCATAATGATACATTAAAGTGATAATGACTTGTGAATGTTATTCAGTATAATTTTAGGAATACAAGAAGCACAAGAAGCACTGCAAGAGCAGAGAATGACAGTTTTAAAGTGGAAGATGAGGAACCAATTCAGACTGAAGAACCATTGCAATTGTTGACTTACAACAAGCCAAAAACTAGCAGAAAAAGAAAAAAAGCTATAGTAGCGGAGAAAGAATAAAAAAACATGCTGAAGAAATATATGGAAACACTCCTGTCAACTTAAGAACCAGAGTAGGACCAGCCCATTTATCAAGTTGGTTAAACTCTTGAATGACAATCAAAGAGCAGCAATTAAAGATATTGGCTTTGGAGGCTTGCTCAACCTAAGCTTTGACAGATTTCATGGAGACTTTGTGGAATTTCTATTGAAAAGCTTACGGCCAATATCAGCACAACTACAACTCACAAATGGTGATTTGTTGGATATTGAAGATCAAGATGTTAGAGTTGTTTTTGGTTTGCCAATGGGAAAGATTGATGTTGAAGAAGCAAATGGCAAAAACGAAAGTGAAGAGTACATTCAATTGCTGAAGCGGTGGAGAGAGGATTGAGGAATTGAAAAGGGAAGCCCGGACACCACAACGATGATACAAAAAATCATTGATAGTGCTGATTCTGGAGATGATTTCAGGAGAAATTTTGTCGTCTTCACAGTTTCATGCCTCATCAGAGGTAATCAGAGTATAAGGAGCAACTTCAAGATCTTGCTCTCTTTGATAAAAGTTGATGAAATCAAGAATTTGAACAGGTGCAAGTATACAAGGCGATCACTAATG